GCAGCCCCCCCCCCCCGCTCGGACTCTGTGTGGATGGTTGCACGTTCCGTGTGACTTCTATACCCGTCACCACGCAGCCCCCCCCCCCCCCCCCGCACCCCCCTTCGGACTCTGTGTGGATGGTTGCAGGTTCCGTGTGACTTCTATACCCGTCTCCCAGCTCAGCCCAGCCGGTCACAACAGCGACAGGCTGAGTGACCTACAGGTGTAGCACCTTCTTCAGCAGATAGCCATCGACCTGCATGCTAACCGCCCGCCCAAACTAACGGCGCGCACGCAAGCACAGCCACCAGGTTCTCCGGTGCCCGCCCTCGCCAGCCAAGCATGATACGGAATTTAGGCAGTTATTACACTAGCAAGTGGTTTCTGGGAGATTTTTCACGCAGATCCGTGCCATGGTGTGTGCCCGTGCTCTACAAGTGTTGGCGTCTGTGTCAAGATGTCAGCTCTCGCCTTAGATCAAACGGTGCTGTCATTATTAATAAACTCGCGTGTACTTCAAATTATGTTTGTGTGTGTTGTGCGCGCGTGCAAGAAAAGTGAGAGAAACATGAGTGAGAGGTCACAGAAAAAAAATTTGTGGGTGATAAAAAAAAGATGGAAAAAGAGACGGGGGGGGGGGGGGGGGGGGGTTTAGACAGTGGAGAGAGAGAGAGAGTTCAAGATGACAGAAAAGAAAGAAAGAAATTAGATGTACAGAAGACAGAAAAGGATAAATGTGAAAGAGAACAGGCGTTAGAGAGAAAGAAGGGGCGAGGGGAGAGATAAGATAAAGGAGAGAAGAGAAAAAAAAAACAGAAAAGGAGATGGTAGAGAGCAGGGATGATACACAGAAGATAAAGAGAAAGGCACATTGTGTTGACCTATATTTTATACACCAGTCAGTGGGTAATGCAGTCAACATCCTGCCCCCCCCCCCCCCCCACCTTTACTTCCCAGGCTTTTACCTGGTACCAATTTTAGGCTGGGCCGGGCTGGGAGATAGGCTTATTTTTTTTAAAACAAAGCAACGGATGCAGATTTAAACCTATAACCTCCGTACTCGAGGCAAGCATTTAGCAGCTTAACCATGGCGGCTCCTAATTCTAATAAAGATTTACTCTTTACTTTTTGAAACTTGACTACAAAAAAAAACGTACAGGCTCGATGACAGATCTCGGAAAATAAGTAGAGTCTGCCCCTTCATCGTCATCATCATCAGGTGCCTTGCTGACTGACGTGGGCGATCATGCCTCTCCACAATCTGCGATCTCCTGCAGCATGTATTAGTTCGTGTGCTGACACACCTTCATGCCCTGCAACAAGACTGTCAAGTCTCTTCTCTCGTTGTCTTCCTCTATCCCTCCTTCCACAAATCTTTCCAGTAATCAAAACATGTTGGCTGGATTGGATTGGCTTTTTACCCCACCAGGACATCACACAAGCGATAAACACCCGATGACACAAAGTGCCACCATGCGGATGAGGATCACCGTGGAGAGGTCCCAGAAACCGCGTTCAGACATTTGGCCATAATGATGACCTGCCTATATTGCGGCCCCTGGCAAAAGCCAGAGTGGGGCTTCAAATAACAAAAAATTACGTCTTAAGAAGGACGTAAAGGATCTTCAAAACATGTTCCATTTTCCCTTTTGTTTGCCCCTTATGTATACTATAAATAGCTACCCCTTCCTTTATTTTGTGTGTTCATTTTCATTCAGCTGTTAACTCCTCCCAAACCGTAACTACCACACAGGTTACATTTTCAACTCTAATTACAGCTATAATGTTTTATTTAACAATCCCACTGAGGGCCAGGTTTAATGTGATTTTTATTTATTTATTGCAAAAATCAGTAAAAGTAAACTTCACTGATTTATATCTCTTTGAATATTTTTCCCTATTACATCCCTTACATAATTGCTTTAAAAAAAATTTTTTTTTTTTTTAAACTTCGCCGTTATTACCCTTGAAACTCAGACTCCAAGATAGGGGCCTCAGAGAAGGTGGTTGCTTTATCAGGCAGCTTTGGGGGGGTGCCACCACGCCAAACTGTAACCCGGAGTAACTGTTGGTGGTAGCAGTAACTATGGGAAGACCCGGTCTAGGAAGCTCCTACCATCATTCCACATCAGGGTCACATCCGACACCCTGTTGAACAATTATTTGCTACAGAAAACTCTGAGAAGAGACGAAAAAGAGAGAAAATCACCAAACACGCACTGAAATGGGACACTGGCGGGTCGAGGAAACAACTGCATCCAAGAGAAAATTTAAAAGATGGAAGGCTCATGTTGTGTTCCTATCCCATGGAGTTTCTACCACATATATGGCAGCGATGGAGACCAAGAGGAGATAATGGACTGGAGAATAAAATAAATTTAAATTATCAATTAAATCTAGTACTAAATAACAGAAAGATTATGCCACAAAAGTTACTGTTATTGGGTTAGGTCCATGGCAGACCTCTGTCCCCAGGACATTTAATTCGGAACCCTGCGCCCAAAGGGATCAGTGTGACAATTTTTCTACACATCAATTCGCCCCTTATACTGAAAACAGAAAGATAATCCTACAAATGTGACTACTGTCACTGGGATGCGAGATCCTAGGGTTTCACTGAATCTTTGGCACTGCATATTAGATGGAGTGGCCACTTCCCTTCCTGCTCATTTTTTTTTGTTTTTTTTTCAGGTAATTCCTAGAAAAATGGCCGGCATTCATTGTTTATGGTAAAAGAAAATGGACCCTCTTTATGTCAGTGGCACACCAGGCATATGATGATACACATATCACTGTTCAACAGTCGGTACTTAGTTGAGTGGTGTGGCTGATAGAATGCTGACCGCCTTTACTTCTCAGGACATTACCTGATACCCATTTTAGGCTGAGTCGACCTAGGGGGCCATATTTTCGGGAAGGGTGGAGGAAAATCTTGATCAGATTCTACTGGGCAAGCATCTAGCCACTACGTTACCTTGGGAAAACATGATCCCGTGTATGCTGGCTTTAAAACCCAGCCCACTGTCTTGGCAGGTAAACTTACCACTAAACACTATTGGCTCGGATACTACTTACAGAAGGTTTGAAATACTGACTGATCATGTGAGTGAATCGTACAATGACTACTGCCATAAATGAGTACACACAAACGACCAAGCCGAATCATAAAAGGACAGATTAACACATTATGACATGATTAAACCATATCATTCACCTCCTAATTACATCTAGCGCAATTACTACCCATAATTTCTTTAGGACATCATCAGTTCTGATGTTCTCTCTTCCTGATATGTTAAGACGTGTTAAATAAATGACACATACAGCACTTACCATCACCATCGCAAGACATCTGCTCCTCTTCTGCTGACCTCCGCCGGTCTTTATAAGTCACAGAACCATCAGCATACTTGCTGCCACCAGCACTATTATCCAGACTACTGATGTTGCTGCTGCTGCTCGTTGTAGGCATCATAGGAAGGAGAGTGGTGGGGGTGGGGTGCCCATCAGCTCCATGAAATTGGATCTGTGAGTTTGAACTCTGCAGAAGTCCGCCCACCGCTCCTATCACACTGCTGCTGGTGGCCGAGGAGTTCTCCACAACAGGAAGAGGCACAACAGTCGGAGCTGGGCGGAGAGGATTTATATAATGGCTCTGCCGAATCAGTGAGGGTTGTTCGGTATGGTGGCCAGCTGCAGACGATACAGGCATGTATCCTTGCCCTGCCCCGTGTGAGATGTCTAGCACTTCTCGTCTCACAACTGTCTGATTCTGGTGCAACGCTGCCGGGATGCTTTGGGGTGTCTGAAACCTATTTTCTGTCAGGTGGTCTTGTGTAATGGGAACTGAATAGTTGCGGTCCAGACCGCGTGGTCTGATCACCATCCCTCCAGAGAGACCCCCAGGCGCTGAGCCACCTGACCCGATGATAGTACTAGCACCGCATCCAGAAACAAAACTCACAGCCGAAGACTCGGTTAAAAATCTTTGTCGGTCCTGTTCTGGTAAAGAACTCAGCTGCAACTGTCGAACAATTGTGGACTCCCGGTTCCCCTGCAATAAATTAAAACAAAATATTAAACAGAGTTGTTTAGTGGCAAAGGCTTATATTTTTCTTGCTCAACTTTCTGATTGCTCAGCTTTTACTTTCTTGTTGTCACTCCAGGAATTACTTAACAATGTTGATGTAAGTTCAATGTTTCTTTACAATTATCCTTCCGGTATTAAGAGAATTCAGCTCTTTCTGTCATGCTGCCTAACCTTCTGTGACATATGCTTTTTTTTTTTTTCACCTGCATGTTTCATATCCACCAATTAATATACCACAGCATTCAGACTTTACTAAGAATTTAGTCTAGTTAATTAGTTGAAGCGACCGATCATCCTCATCATACAAGTCCACAAACACTCGGATCCCATTTTCAGTATCCCCCTCACGGTGTGCAACAGATAACACCAGTCCTGTGCTGTTAACTATTTTTCTTTGGCCACTTAAATAGTGTTCAAGTCTGGCAACACCTCCTTTTACATAATGTTCCTGTTAGGGAGTCTCCATGATGGTGAATTCCAAAAGATTTGATTCTTTTTGTGAATTTTTTTATTCCACACTAATAAATAAATCATGTGTTACCCAGGCTCTTAGGAAAAAGTAGAGAATAATAACACTGTAAAATTTTTTTAAAAAGCAAGTAGCAAAAGAGAAGGAAAACACTACAATCTTTAAAGACTGTAATACTAACAGGAACTGGTTTATAGTCAACTCACCCTCAAATGGTAGCTGGCAGGTTGTATTGTGATTTTAGCTAGACCGCGATATCTGGACTTTTCAGTCCAACACAATTCTGACTTAAAGAAACTTAAACTCTTATTTAGTTGCCTTTTACAACATGCCGGCTGTGTGTGTGTGTGTGTGGGGGGTTCCTTATTCAGCACCCCCCCCCCTTTCCAACATGCTCACACACACACACAAAATGACCCTAACACAAACGCAAAGACCTTTCAATGTCAAAATGATTACCTGGTCCGCTGCCAGCCTTTGACCACCGTCCATCCCTCCTGATCCAAACAATCCGGAGGATGCCACAACTTTAGGCACAGGACCAGCGGATTTTGGGGTCAGCACATCCACGCCCGAGTCCTCACTGTGTCCTGAATCCTGCTTCACTAGTGATAAAGAAAAGCTGCGAGACTTCTGGATCGAGCGGGGGTCCAGGGCCTGGTTTTCAGAAAGAATATTAAATCCACAACAAACAAACACAATTTTTTCAAGGAAGGTGTAAACTATCAATACCATCATCCTAACCATCATCCAACTGTGCCGCTATACAGTTAATGAGGGAAATTACAGCACTTGGGAAATTCCCAAAAGTGCCCCATCTCCTTCATCTAGCTCCATTTCAGACGATATCAGTAACAATCTGATTATATGTCCAGCCTGCTTTTCCCCTGAATGTTGAGTGTAATTCAGCAACTCCTGGTGACCTTTAACCCTTCTCTCTCCAGATCTTGTGGAGACGGTACTTTTGTACCAAGTAGGGATTATCATCTACAAAAACATCCCTTCCACAGATTTAACCCTTTGTCACAACATCTCTGAGAGGATCATTTAAGCTATAATAATAATTTTTTTTTCAAGTACGTTTAAATTGGCAACATCATGATCATCATCATCATGTGGTACCGCTATAAAGTTAAAGTGAAGAGGATCAACTTCAGTGCACCAGGTTTGATCCCCTTTGTCTTCTTCTTCTCGTTCACCAGCTGTAAACTCTAGCGGAAAGTTCTGGTTGTTCATCCACTTCTGGACGGCAGTCCTGTTCCAGAACCTGAGTGTTGCGTGTGCATCCGTTTGACAGATCTGACTCATTTGTATGCAGACTGCCGGTTCCTTGACTCTCAGGCAGATGCACTCCGACTTCGAAGGAAGCTCCCAATTAGTCGACTCTTACGACATGCTTTTGGGTAGGCAGTGGGTCTATTCTTGTTTTCTCTATAATAGGGCCCCGAAACCCACACGGGGTGATCCCCTTTAAATAAAGAATTTCTGCAGAATTGGTAAGCCACCTGCTGAAAGCATTGCACAAAGCACTAACTCTGCAACTCCTAGTTATGATCACCAGGGATCTTGGCAAAAACTGTACCATCAACTGAATGATGCAGTCTGTGAAGGTAACCCACAACTTCCAGACCACAGGGCAAGTGGCATAACAACTTCACCAAGGAGACCCCTTTATATGTCACACGTGGCTTGAGAAAACAACTGCAACCAAGAGAAAATTAAAGACGGAAGGCTCATGTTGTGATCGCTCTTCCGTGTAGTTTCTACCACATATATGGCATCGGTGGAGACCAACAGGAGATAAAGGACTGGAGAATAAAACTTTCTTTCATTATCTCGAGCAGTTAAATCTAGTACTGAATAACAGAAAGATAATCCCACAAAAGTTACTGTTATCAGGTTCGGTCCGTGGCAGATCTTTGAAAATAAGAGCGGTCGACAGGACTTATTTAATTCTGAACTTTGCCCCAAAGGGATTAGTGTGACAATTTTTCGACACATAAATTTGCCCCTTATACTGAAAACAGCCAACATATTGTGATCGACTACTTCCATCCATACAAACTGCATTTTTGGTGGTGAATGTTGGCTTCGGCACCTCTAGCAACTGCAATATGCATTTACTGTGTGCACATATTTCTGGACTGGGCCAGACAATTGTTTGTTCACCAGTTTTTCTAAACAAGACAGTGAGGGACATTTCATTTGATTTTCACTGGCACAGAAACAGAGCAAGTATGGATTGACCCGACTGAAGTGAAGTCAAAACCTCCACTATGACTAAGACGCAACAACTTACATGTGGCTGAAAGACTCCCGCAGAGGAGAACCTGGAAGTGATCGGTGACACATGGTCCGAAGAGGAACTGCCAGACTTGGAGCTCCAGCTCTTGGCCGGCGAAGTCACAAATCCTGGGGGTCCTTGTGGGTTGCTGTGTGGAGAGATGGGCGTGAAGGATGTTGACCGATAAGGCCCTGTTGGAGACTGCATGGACCCTAGCCCACCCTGGGCGGGGCTGGGGGAGTATGATGGACTTGTGGATGTTGAGTTGCCCAGAGAGACAAGCATGTTGGCTGCTTCTGTTTCATCCATGTCAAACCTGCAATTTTCAGAAGAAAGTCAGCACTTGCATTAATAAGGTGCACATGTTATAAATGAACAAGCATTAAAAGTCTTTGGTTAAGCATCAACAAGGAAATCACAATTTTAAGAGCATGTATCTTCCCTATAGCAACAAATGGATGTGAGTCGAATTATCTTGCAATGTTTTGGAAAGAAAAAAAAGGGACTTTGAGCTGAAATGCTCGAGAAAGATTCTTGGAATACCATGAACCAAGCAGAAAAGAAATAATGACATGATTGTAGGTCTGCCTGTGGATTATCTCTCCACCATCTATCTTCTTGGTCAGCCTCATGGCTAGTATTACCCTAGTGGTAAATCTGGCCATATCTAGATGGGAACTAGATAATTTTCTGAATCACACAGACACTGTCTAAGAAGGCCATTTCACTTCACTGTGTAGTGACACAGTACTCCATTTACCTATTGAAATATCTGCCATGGGATTACTTAATGTTTCATGGTTCTTCTTATTCTAAAACTGATGAATTATCTTCAATTAGTGGTCCCAAGTCATCATTATGAATGTGCTAACTTGTTGATCATCCCATGAACCACAGAATATATGTCTTACCCACAGAATATGAATGTGCCAACTTGTGGATCATCCCATGATCCACAGAATATGAATGTGCCAACTTGTGGGTTGTCCCAGCACCCACAGAATATGAATGTGCCAATTTGTGGGTTGTCCCAGCACCCACAGAATATGAATGTGCCAACTTGTGGGTTTCCCAGCACCCAGAGAATATGAATGTGCCAATTTGTGGGTTGTCCCAGCACCCACAGAATATGAATGTGCCAACTTGTGGGTTGTCACAACACCCACAGAATATGAATGTGCCAACTTGTGGGTTGTCCCAACACCCACAGAATATGAATGTGCCAACTTGTGGGTTGTCCCAGCACCCACAGAATATGAATGTGCCAACTTGTGGGTTGTCCCAGCACCCACAGAATATGAATGTGCTAACTTGTGGGTTGTCCCAGCACCCACAGAATATGAATGTGCAAACTTGTGGGTTGTCCCAACACCCACAGAATATGAATGTGCTAACTTGTGGGTTGTCCCAACACCCACAGAATATGAATGTGCCAATTTGTAGGTTGTCCCAGCACCCACAGAATATGAATGTGCCAACTTGTGGGTTGTCCCAGCACCCACAGAATATGAATGTGCTAACTTGTGGGTTGTCCCAGCACCCACAGAATATGAATGTGCCAATCTGTGGGTTGTCCCAACACCCACAGAATATGAATGTGCCAACTTGTGGGTTGTCCCAACACCCACATAGTATGAATGTTCTAGCCCCCAACACCCACATAGTATGAATGTTCTAGCTCCCGACACCCACAGAAAATGAATGTGTTGGCTCATGGCTTGTTGATCTGTGGACAGCTACAGGTGCTCACAGCACCTAAGCTTATACTGTAAGGTAAAGTCGGTAGATGTGAACTAGCGTCATCGCACACGGTTACAAACCATAAGTGCTCTGCCACCAGTAAGGACAGCTGACAAGAAACTGTCCGCCTGTGTCGCCATCCGCTTGCAACACCGTAGCTACAGCGACGTTCCTCCATTTACCCCAGAGTGTTAACTCTGGTACCCATTACCTAGAGACTGGGTAAAACACGGGAACGGCCCGGTTTCGAACATCGCCTGTGGGCTGCAGCGAGTCGCAGCTGGATTTGAAAGTGGGTCTCCTATCGACTGCGCTAACGTAGTCCCAAAGCTTATACTTGAAAGTGTACAGTATCTGACCACAGTAAATATATAAAATAATCAGCTCTGTGGCTTGGATATTAGACAGCGTGTTTCACAATCTCCCAGGGTGCGATCTCTGTACTAGGTCGTTTAGAAAATAAAAAAGGTAGTGAGATTGGACGCCTGTGTACACTGTTGCACACATAAAAAAATCCCTTGGCAGTTGAAAATCAAAAGGAGTAGCCTAAAGGCACTGCCCAGGAGAATTTGGAGTTGAAAATCGACCCAAAGTATTTCAAGATCCTCGCCGGTGCTACATAACCTGTGCACGGTGCTGAGCTTCTTTGGACTCAGGCTTGAGTTAGAAGTAGAACGGAGCACTTGTGGGTTACTTCCCGTGTGCTATAATGTTGATACGCTGTTCAAACGCCAAATTTTAAAATGTGTTTTAAAAAAAACCTTTTATTGATAGCAGAGCATGAACAAGCACGGCTGGAGTTATGTTTGTGATGGTGCTAGGGGTATGTTTATTTGTCCTATGTACCGAAACTTATGGGACACCCTGTAGTATGAGAGTCGCACCATGGATGAGACACAATGCAATACTTCCAAGTCAGTATTTAATACACATCTCTCTGTTTGGGAGCCTTCATGGTGTAGAGGCTAGACAATCACTTGTAAATCTGAACTACGAGGGTTCAAATGCTAATGGAGCCAGATCAACACAGGCCCAAAGGGGTACCAGGTAAAGCCCTGGGAAGTAAAGGTGGACGGCATGCTGTTGAGGACATCCCCGACCAAGTGGACCAGATTGGTCTATAAAACATAGGTCTAGCACCAAATGTGTCCCCAAAAAAACCTGAATGCATGAAAGAGGGTCCTTTATTTAACTAAGTACCTGTTTGCCATCATCCGTTCACGGTCAAATTCACTATGTCCGTCCCCAGTCCACTCAATGTGCCCTTCTTTCAGTGCACCCTGTCTGCAGCCTGGAAATGTTGGTGCATGTCTGAGGCTCTTGCCTTTGAGAGACAAATGTCTGGAACAGAAGCCTCTTCTCTGAGATTCTTTTGTGCAGCTAAAGATAGAGAAAGAAAAAAAAATCAATTAGCTGATGTGAAACAAGACACAAGTTTGTTGCATATCTCTGCCATTGCTGGCCCCAAGGTTGGATGAGAAAGGAGGAGAGTTGGGTGTGGGGCCAGCTCCCATAGCCTATACAAATTATGTGCAACATAAAGGACGACCAAGAGAAACCCTAAGGTGAATACTAATGAGAGAAGCCAAAGGTGCTGGACTGGATTCCATCCATGACACTGAGGTGACTGCACAGGACAGAACTGAATGGGGGAATAGACTGTGGTTTGTCAACGGTTTGACCAAGTGATTTTAAATTCAGTAGTCTCCAATAGCTTTCTTAATTTTTAAATATGTTTCTAAGAATCTGGTGTACTGTCAAAATTGCCTGCAGCTGACTGCAAAGCCTGGCATATCATAATTATAAGACAATGTTCACAACCATCAAGCCAGATGGCAGCTTATTTCACTATACTACCCAAGGTTTCACTTCCATTCTTATGCTGCTCTGCCCCTGCCCTTTTCTTCTGGCACCATGCCTTCTGCTACTATTTTTTTTCTTTTTTTACTATTTAAAAATAATTTTTTTTTTTAATTTAAAAAAAGCTTCTGTAATCTGTACATAAAGATTAGTCAAACAGTCCAAGGCCCATGTCCTCGTCTGACTCCTCAGACACTTCCTTCTTTTCTTATCTTCTTAGCAGGTTTGGCATCTCCACCACCTGCAGCAGGGGCCACAGCAACCGGTCCGGCCCCAGCAGCACTGCATACGTTGCTGATCAACTCTTTCACGTTTAGGCCATTTAAAGCCTTGACCAAAAAAAACCTGGCCAGTAAGGCTCAACAGAGACGTTAGCTGCCCTGAGAAGTGTTGTAATCTTGTCATCAGTAATTGCCACTTGGTCATCTGCCAAGATAGGGGCGGCATAAATACAAGCGAGTTTACTATTAATCCAAATTCACCATGGCGCTTTCTATGGCTCAATTATTTCAGTTTCTGAGACAAGATGCTGTTTACCAGCCAATCTTCCTTGATGTTCAGATCTTTTAGAATGTTATTGTTTCTTTTCTTCTTGGTCCAAGATATTCTGAGAATCTTTCTACAGCATTTCAGTTAAAAAGGCCTATTTTCTACCTTAATGGCCATGAGATGGTTCACGACTCAACAACCACTGTGGAAAAAGCATTAGGTAGTTACTTTTAGTGAGCAAGTGGCGTACAGCAATATATATGAGAGGACAACATCAAGAGATGGACAGACAGTAGTCTTAGAGTGTGTACAACCACAGCAGGAGACATACAGTGTGTGTACATGTCATAACACTGTGAGCTGCAGACTTCATTTGAACTGTGATAAACATTATATGTGTTTTACGTTGGCACAGGAGCGGAGCAACTATGGGGTGACCCGTTTGCTATGAAGCTGAAACTAAGATTACCAGATTACAGACAGTGTACATTCACTGCAGTCAACATTGTTGTTCACCTATCACAAGTGACAAAGACCACTTGTTATCCAAAGTAGTAGTGATCAATGATTATGAGTACGAAGGTGGCTGATTAGTCCAAAATGAGCCTGGAAAGTTCTTAAGCAGTGAGGACATCAGGTGGAAGCTGTAGTAAGTGTAGGATTAGCGATATGGTTCTTTCTTGTCTGCCTCTGTTTCTTTTCTCTGCTGATGCACCATGCCTGAGGGATGTTCAGAATGGTCCTGTGCAGCAGCCTCTCGTGTTGCTGTGTTGATGCCAAAAGAGTTGAGGGCAGTTTTGAGAGTGTCCTGCTAGCACTTTTTCTGTCCTACCTGGGATCTCTACCCTTGCTAGAGCTCACCATAAAATAATCTCTTTGAGAGGTGATAGTCTGGCAGGCAGGCTAGGTGACCGGCTCAACACTGTGGAGATGGCAGCTGCCTTTATTATCCTGTGGTTGCTCCATTACATAGGACCTCTTCTTCTTCTCAGCGTTTCCTAACTACACTCGGGCGAAAAGCTCTGGTTGTTTGGCCTACTTTTGGGTTCCAGAACTTGAATTCTGTGTGCACATTAATTTTCCAGATCTTCTTGTTTGTATGCAGACTGTTGGTGCCTTGCCTCTTAGACGGATATGCTCCCACTTTAAAGAAAAAATCCATTAGTATTCGCCTTTTACGACATGCCTGATAGGGCGGCAGTGGGTGAATCTCCACCCCCCCCCCCCCACCCCCACATGGGGCCCCAGAATCAACAGGGGAATATTACACATGTACAGATGATAGTGTCACATGCAGTAACACTAACAGCAATCAAATGTAGCTATATTTCTTTAGGGATTTTCCGTACACACACACACAAATCACCCCCCATTCAATACAGTTTATCAATTAAATAATGAGATTGTTTTTATTATGGCCTAATAATTAGGGTGCCCTTATAGGTCAGAAAAGTGATTTTAAGACAGCTGAACTGATAAGTTCTCACCACAGAGAGCAATGTTATACAGATACAATGGTAACAGAGCCAGAGGTCAACTATGTAGAAGATGGACTGCAGAAATATCAGACACTGAAGAGTTCTTAAAATGAAGAGGACATTATGGCCCCTTCCAGAGATCTCTTTCCATGCTGACGCTGCGAGGCATTCCAGGAGTAGAGAAAAGAAGAAAGAACGAAGAACTGAAAAGTTTTTGAGGATCAATGTGTTTCAAAATCAACATCATAATCATCAACCATCATCCTCACAGTCAGATATTGGTCTCCATGTATCCATTCTCTTGACATTGGCAACCAGTTTATCATTATGAACAGAAACTGGACGTCCCAACCAAGCTTAATCTTCAGTTTCTTCCAAACCAGTTTTAAATCATGAATGCTGCCTCATGCACAAGACGAACATTGACCCTCATAACCTTTGGTCATCAGTTCAACTGTCTAAAAAACATTTTTTCAAGACTGGAACAGAACTAATGTTCATCCCTGACCCCATGATGCATGTAACAAGACAACATTTACTAGCTAAACAAAATGGCCGGTTACTTGTTGTCTGCATACCGGATGGTATTACAATTTTGCCAGATCATTCATGAAAGGTGTCTGTTTAGATGACACGCTCTGCTTGTTTCCTGAATAGCTTTTTGTGTGTGTGTGTGTGTGTGGCTATTATAAAACAAGTCTCTTCACTTAACTGTGTACAATAAATCATGCATGAACAGCTGTTAAATGTGTGTATCACTTAAAGTTAAAAGTATCCACATCGGTTACATGAGTTCGCTGACAAAAATATTTCCAGTCCAACAAAATATAACATAGGATGACATCTGTTAAGGCCCTGAAGTTTTATAAAAAATTGTGTGTGTGTGTGTGTGTGTGGGGGGGGGGGTGTCTGGGGACTTCTAGGCTTTGGTCTTGTTCTAGAACAAGGCTCTTCAACCGGCACGCAGAAGCCTAGCAAGAGGCCCACGGATCATTGCCACGTGTATTTTATTAATGAACTTTCTATGCCGGGGCTTGTGACGCTGGCCTGTGACGATCCCAATTTTCAACCCCTTTGTAAACTGAACAGCTCTGTTCTAAAGATTGAGTTTTATGTGCACATATGTTTTACAGATCTGGCTTATTTATTTGTGTTGGCGTCAGGTAGACGGGTGCACTCCAAGTTTGAAGGAAACACCACCGGATTGGTCGCCTTTTATAAAATGATTGGGGTGGAGAGGGGTGGGATATTCTTTGGGGGGGTGGGGGGGGGGGGAATGTGGCCCGCTGGTTCCAAGATGGGGGATTTAGACAACATAAAAATCCAAATCTCTTCCCCCAAGAGAGATATTTGTGCGTATTAAGCATAATTTATGTTACACCGAGAAGTGGATGGTTAACTGGTTCAAATATGAGACTCTCATTCAGGAGACCTGCAGTTAAATTCTCTTTAAGGTGACGGGAAAATCTGCAGCCATGAGGGGATAAAACACCTAGCCGTGTAACCCCATATCATCAGGCTCAAGACCTTCCCAGTCCTACACCGCCCCAAAAGATGGCAAATACAGGCGGAAGAACATTTCCATACACTTGGTCAGAGTTGGAGCCTCCATGCTGAGATCCAATGCAGCAACATTTACAAGGTTCAGAAAGCGGAGAGGATGAAATGGTAGAAAATAACACAATAGACATGCTGGCACCTGCAAATACTAATCTAAGGCACCATGATTTGGCAAGATCCTCTGCGCATTTTATGCTGGAAAGGCGTGACATGGGAGTAAAGAATGGTAAAGCACTCCCATGCCACATTCGAGGCTGAGATATAAGACACTATAGCCAGCTCCTCAAGGGGATAATCAGCAGAGGTATCTCGGAGGGGCCGCTGCATCAGAGGACTGAGCGGATATGGGAATGTCCAATGTGCATCGACGTGGACTGGACTATGTTAACATGATGTAACATACCAGGCAGCTAATGAGAGTTTTTATACATTGTGTTATTGTGATAGTAATAAGCTGATATTGTAATAACATCTGTTGCTTCCGCATTTTTCATTGTGTTTAAACTATTAAACATATCTTCTTCTCCATTCACCCTTAAAAAGGTGGTTGGCATATTTTGCTGGTTAAAGCTAGGCTGCAATATTTCTACCTTTCGGCCCAACACCTCTGCTTGTTTGTGGGACAAGAAGTTTATTATTTTTCCCCCAAGACCACTCAGGGATAAATATTATCAATGTTAATTTAGTTTGGAGAGACTTACCCTTCCCGTGAACACAGCCTACGCCACTGTTTTCCATTGAATTTTTTCCGTACTCCATTAGAGGCACTGACAACATCCCCTTTCTTGTACTTTCCATTGAGAGGCGACCTCGGGGTGCTAGACCTGGAGCTTTCAGTGGACTGTGCGCTTCGGCTCCGATCTGGGTCATGCTTTTTTGGCTGATTTTTACGACCATTCTGTGACCTAGATCCTGACCCCGGGGTAGCACTGCCAGACCTTGGTGTGCTCATACCAGATGAGTCAAAGCTAATGGAGTCATTTAACATTTCATCATCCGAGGTGTCTCCATGATCTAGTGATCCTGCACTAGAAGAGACGGGACGTTCCAGGCGATAGATTGTCCCACTGTGATGGGAGGAACCCGATGCCTGATTCACTGGAGAAAAACACTGTTCTGAAGGTTCTGCAAGACCCCCAGAACCAACTGCAGAAGCATCTTCCATGTCATCAAACCAAGGAGGCTGCAGGAGTCGAATATTCACCCTTGCTGCCCAGATCATCTCTGGACTGCTTTCATACCGACGTTTTAGCTTCACATGACACATAACTGGGTTTGTTCGACGCTCAACAATGACTCCTTCATGGAAAATATTCTTCTCCTGGTTCACTCGCACACAAACTGCTCGTCCAACAGTGAGAGTCGATGCTTGGGGTGAGTTATCCCCAACTAATAAACAACCCTGAACATCAAACACATTAGAAAATGTCATGCTCTTGTGGTCTGATTCAAATTCTATTTCAATATTCTGACTGCTTGGATGAACTCCTTTGATGAGAGCCACTTCAAATATGTCGCCCCTTTTTGCTAGAACCCGCTGATTCTTCCACTCACTCAAGTCTAGAAGTGGCTTTTTCATCACTGGTGCAGATACCGCTGATAACACTGCAGGTGTGCAACCTAAGGCTGGGGACTGAGGACTGTCCATTTCTGCCGCTTTGCGTTTTTTGGGTGGTATAGCTATTGTCTTTTTCTCCGATTCACAATGCGTGCTCTGGCCAGACAAAGCTTCTTGTTGATTTGAGGGAATATCCGAATTAAATGTTCTCCCCTGCTGCTCTGGAATGGCAGCAGTAATGGAAATATTTGCTGCACTCGAAAATGTCTGATTTGCTGAGGAAATAATTCCCAGGGGCATCTGGGAATGTGACTTCGCCCACAATCCACTACTCAGCTGCTGGCTTAATATTGACACTGAGGTTGCAGGAGCTGTTGTCGCTGTGAATCCTGTTGTCTGCTGAGGAGGAATCAGGTGAGAATTTGGATTAGCAGTGAAGCCTACACAGGAGACAGGTGTTGTACTAGAATGGGCAGAGTTTGTTGCAACACTCATCTGGTATTCGCTAACTCTGACCACTTGTGGAAACCCCAGCTGGGGGTGGGACAGCTGACCAATCGTGGACCCTTTTGAGTTATTATCTGTCAAGGTCACAACAGTCGGTTTAGCAGTGGCATACACAGGTTTAAAGTACTGGCTTTGCATGACTATATGTCCACCCGAATTGCTGCCGGCACTGCTGCTGGTGGGTCCAGTAAGAGCTGTCGCTGACAAGCCAGAGGTGACAAATGTGTTGCCCATTGCTAGAAGACCGGTCTGTGGCGATGAAGAGGGTGCCAGAGATGAATGTGAGGAGACTGCCGGCTGTGCAGGGGAATATATCCCAGACAAAAGAACATTGGACAGCTTGGACTCTGACGTCACTTCCTGTTTCAACACTAAAAACATGGAGTTTTTGTTCTCTGTCGATGTGGGAGGTGTTGATGCCGCAAGCAGCTGAGGGGGTCTTTTTGAATCGGGGGAATCTGTTTTTGCTAACGACGGAGAAGCTGCAGGTGGCAGAGACGGAGAGGCTGAAGTCTTGACCCGAGGCTGTGATTCAATTTTAATATCTGGATCACGACGAGGTTGCCGGACAGTTCGACCGCCTCTTGTTGTAGTTGTGCCACTCAACACTGCTATTGCTGGCGCAGAAATATTTAGAGGTTTTGTCTGAGGTCTGCTACCTTGCCTGACGGCTGTGTTTGTTTCTTGTCCACTGACGGCTTCAACTTTCAATTCAGAACTTGAAGCAGTTGCAGAATACTTCTCAAGATCAAAAGGTTTCACTTCTGAAAGTAAAGCTTTCTGAGTGGAAGCAGTGATCTTGACATGGTTAGTCTGACTCTCCTCCTCGGGTGTGCCACAGCTCTGAGGTGAGTTTTCAGCAGAGTCTCCAGAAACGGTGTTGGCATTCCTGCGCCGAGACTTGCTGGGCCTTGATGAAGATGAATTAGCTGCTGATGAGGACTGTGGTGATGATGCAGCTGTTGACAGACCTTTGGCAGAACCAGCTCCAGCTAAAACTGATGAAGCTGATGCGCTGTTTTGTCCTTTCTTCCTGACTTCACTTCGACGCTTCATAGTCAAATCTGAAAACAAAATGTAAAAGCCAGTGAAAATATAAATCTCAACAACTTCAGATTCTGCTCAACGGGGATCTTAACAGAATATAGACACAATACTCCCCAGAGTGCCAGCTATATAACTACCCCTATGAAACTTGACCAGCATCTCTTTGGTGCCCAAAACTCAGTGATACTTGAAGAACACTACTTCCCCGAGACCAAGACAAGTGGAACACCTTGTATGGAGGACCAAAAAAACAGCTAGTAAAAACATGTAAATTCCACTACATGGCATTAGGCCAAAGGTCATGCACTGCTGGATCGATAACAACAACTTCATAACTAATGCCTTAGTAGACAAAACTGGGAGCCATACTGGTGCAGTTTACAGATGCCTGCCTGCTGGTCCAAATGTCTTGGGTTCTAATCCCCAGCCAGGAGTGTCCATACCTGTGCAGGACATCAAGTTACACCAGGCTGGTGTAACTGTTATGGATGCCCTAATTAGAACTTCTTTGGAAGTTTAACGGGGCATCTGGGATCGGCCTTAATGGTCTGCCTTCCAATTAATAATTTTTGTTGGTAAAAAAAACTAATGTTGGTCTCCCCAGGCCCCGCCCATATACACAATAGCTCACTTCTGGTTGGTAGACCTTGAGGTATGTAACCTTGTCACGAGGTTAAGGGGGTTTCCCGCAATGCCACGGATATCGCAGATTGTATATTTCAGGATGCTAGCGCTTTTAACACGTTTAAAAACATAGACAAACTGGGTCTTACACCCCCCCCCTCCCCCCAGATAGTCCTGCAACCTATGTCACAGGCATTCTCTTTCTCAGAATATAAAAAAGTACATGCAAGACAATAGAGAAAGCAAACAACAGAGCGACACACTCTTAACCTGCAGGAAAGTAGACCAGCCCAACAAATATGTGACTGAAACATGACCTACTTTGTTTGGGGAGACTTATTCCTCATTTTATTATGGAGAAAAATTTTTTTTTGCTAAACTGGATAGCACACTGGCAGAATACTCATCAGACAGATAGCTGAAAGTCTACTGTATATTATTATATGTATTTGTTATTTAGCACATTATGTTTTAAAAATATTATTATGCAATCAAACAAGGCCTAGATTCCTTGAGTACCCCCCTCTTTTGAAAATGTGTAAGGAAGCCAAGTAAAGAGAAATAACACTTAAAAACAGATTGGAGAGAAAAGATAAAGGCAAGCGGGTAAGAGGTATACAGCGATACAAGTGGGTGAATAACATGAAGAGATGAGCGGACAGTAGTCTGAGATTTTACCTGATGATCTACTGCAGTCAACCTTCATTATGAAGATGGCCCCTGATTGAGTGCGACAACTTTGTCTCTTGTAAGAATGTCAATTATGTATGCAGAATCACCATCAATCAGCAAGTCCTTTACAGAACGCCGCTCTCTTCATGGCACGCCTGAAAGTATCCCTTTCCCTATCCAGCTTCCACCACACATGTCTACGTAGAATTATCAAAATTTTCTGGCCAGCTACAATCTCAAACACTAAACTACTTCAAGACACAAACCAAGAAACTTTAGACAGTATGATAACCAAGAGAAGATGGAATGGCTTGGCCACGTTATGAGAATGAATCCTGATATACCTGCCAAAACAGCTCTCACATGGACACCAGAGAGAAAGAGAAAACAGGGGCGCCCAAAAACAAAATGGAGACAAACGATGGAAAGTGACCTGAGTGCGGCATTTTTGACATGGAAAACTGCACTGAAGATTGCACAGGACAGGAAAGCATGGAAAGACCTCTCTGAAGCCTCATGTGCCGCTAGGCATAACGAGAACTGATAATGATACAGCTCTCAGGCCCCATGTGCTGTGAATGCCAATGCTTCTTCAATGTCTTGTATCCATCTTCATGGTGGTTGACCCCTGCCTTGCCTTCCACAAATGGCACTCTCCATCACCGTCTTTTCCAAGCCTCCGAGATGCTTGATGTGGCCAAAATACTTCAACTTTCGATACAGGATTTATGCAGAAATAGTTGACATAAAACCTGCGCTCTTCTATAATGTAAACCAGACATATGATGCTCGACTAATATTTTTACAGTTGTCACTAGATGGGTGATAAGGTCAACCTCTCGCTGTCCATTTTTACCTCTCAGGTCATTATCTGAAAATCATTTTAGGCTGCGTCGACTTGGGAGCCATGGTCACATTTTTTCTATTTTAAATCATTAATATTGCCTGATTTGAACACATGACATTCAGGCCATTAGGTGATCACCTTGTACTTATGCCACAGCTCCTGTGTATATAACTGTAAGATAATTGATTAATGGATGTATTGGGCTGAAAGATGCAGCAGCTATCACAGCTTGGCAGTAAACCACAATGTCGTAACCCTTTTCAGGAAAAATGCAGACAAAGGTTAGTATAAGAGCTATAGTCACAAACTGTGTTTGCCAGCCACGGCAGTAGGTCCGGGTGTAATCACTAGCAGCAACAAGATCATTTTCTACAACCAGAATTTCTGAGAACTGACTGAAGAGGCAAAGGTAGCAAAACAGGATAACTCTGTATCCCACCGAAATATCAACTTCTTATACTTCTTCCTTTTCACCGGCTGTAAACTCCGTCAGATAGTTCTGGTTTTACATCCAGTTCTGGGGTTCTGGTAAACTTCAGGTTTGCTTGCACATCCATTATACAGACTGGCTTATTTGTATGTTGTACTTGCAAACCGTTGGCGTCTGTGGCTTAGGCGTTGCGAACGAGCTTCGTAATGCCAGGGTGCCAGGTTTGATCCCAGCTGTGGACCTTGCGTCTTATGTTGGTTTTTAACAGTGGTATCAAGAAGTGACCGCCCAGAAAGCAACGGCAAACTACTGGACGTAAATTTGCCAAGAAAAACCACCACAGCCATAAAATGCTGGGGTTGTTCTGCAAAGTCCTGTAAAGGATACGCAACTAACTAACTTGCAAACCTAAGATTAAAGAGTGGAGTAGCTGAGAAAAGAAATGAACAGCATGGAACGCGAAGCAATTGCAATTCTTTTAATTTCCTAACACTATGGAAAATGAAATAATATATTATACACATCTCAAAAAGGGCTATTTTCCGAAAAACAGTCCTATATTATCAAGGCCGAAAATATACCCTAACAAGGCCTCAGTCACGTGTCAATTGCAAACTTCCGGCGACTCCTGCCACCGCCGAGAGTATCTCCCAAGCCCCTACGCGCAGCGTGGATTTGGACTAAACTAGATGGCTGGAACTCACGAGCAGCAGCTACCGCATCTCCTGCAGCTTAGTTCATTTTTATTTGCTCGTGAGTCCCAGCTATCTAGTTTAGCCCCAATCCACGCCGCACGTAGCGTCGTGGGAGATACTCTAGGGTGGGGGGCGGAAGTCCGCAATCGACACGTGAGGCCCTGTTAGGGTATATTTTCAGCCTTGATAATTTGGGACAGTTATTCGGAAGACAGCCCAAAAAGTATATAATAAAAACGCAATGGACACACACATCCAATTACAACCC